TTATTATATATCATTTATAATATTTTAAAATAATAAATAACTAAATACTAAAATAATTTTTTATTAAAATCATGATATAATACAATTTAACACAATTACAACCCCTATACTACTTAATAACTCCAATCATGCCCTTAATCATATTAATCTTATAACATCTCCTCATAATTGGAAATTACACTGCCTAATCATATTATTTTCATAACATTAATTAACTTTTAATTAAATTTGATTACGATCACAGAAATCTTTTCCGGCATCATCTCTGTTGCCCGGCTTCCGGTATCCTTCTCTGTTTCTTCGACGTCATCACTGTGAAAATCCAGGAGAAATCCATTTTGAAATCAAACAACATATGCAAAAATTTTAATAGTCTTAAATCAAAATATCTTCGTACAATGAGGAATTGAAACTGAAATTACCCTCCTGTTGGGGTTGGGTACTACCTTCACTCTGTTTTTCCATTTCTTGTATATACCTAGACACCAAATTACAAAACAAATTTGCACAAAACCGAACCCCCCATCCTCCATTTCCAAGCTTTTCTTACCTCACTTTCCTGCATACCCATCTTCCAAAATCGAGTTTTTCACTCAAAGATTCAAGAAATTACAGAAATGAAATTCTTTGTCATCATCTTCTTCTTCCTCCTCCATTATCTCTCGTCCGGCCCTAAGCGGAGAATCACCGGAGAACCCAGACCCAGAGAAAACCAGAGACAATTTGATGGATTCTTTGGTGGTTTCTCACAGAACCCTTCTTTAAACCAGAAAATAAAGGAAGAAGAGGAGGAGAAAGGGGGAGGAGAAGGGAGGAGAGAGAGAAGGGTAATTTGATATCCTCAAAATATGGTAATTTGATAGAAGATTCAAAGCTTGACGAAGAACCCCATGCTTGATGAATTGCAGATCTGGGTTTTAAAAGAACAAAGAGGGGAAGTAGACAAATACGGTAGAAGCCGATCCTGAAATCCCTAAATCCCCAATTTTATTCCCTAAACAATTTTAAGGGTATAAAAGTAATTTTTGTCTAATCTACTAATTTTAAGTGATTTGTCCAGGTGTGCCTCCACCTCAGCATCCATCTCAGCCAAAAATGGCTACGTCAGACATAGAGGAAGGGCTAATGAACAAAACGTTAAATGTTAACGGAAATGTTAAGAGAAGGGCTGAATTGCCATTGCAAGGGAGTTGAGGGGCTGATTTGCGCGTGAAGTGGGTTGAGGGGGTGATTTGCCACCAGTTGTTGAGTTTAGGGGCTGATCTTTGCCTTGAAAATAACAATTACGTACCGTACGTAGTTACCTTG